GTCGAGGGCAAGGGTTGTCGACCGGTACCCTTGCTGGACTTGGAAGAAGAAAAATAAAAAGAAAGAAAGAAAAAAAGAAAAGGAAAAGGAAAAAAAGAAAAATAATAATAATTCAAAATTTTTTTAATTAAAATATTATTAAAAATTGTCCACGTTAGTGTCGGTCATGTCACATAAGATAGCCGGCGTCTACTTCTGCAATTTCTGGCTAAAATTGCCAGACAAACTCAATTGGCAATGTGAAAAAGTTTATGACTCAATTGGTAAAATAAAAAAATTATAACTAAATTAGCAAAAGTGCAATTTTTCCCTTGGATGAGCGTATGACCAGTGAACAATGTGTATGTGTGTTTGACCTTAATAAAAGTCTAAAAGTGTTTGGTTAGAGATTTCGGTGAAGACCGTTCATTTTTTTCCTCGAATTAAATAAGTACATCAATAAGTAGATTTAATCTTTTATTTGAAATTTGGGGACTAAAAGTCGTCCCACTCTACCGGTGAACGCCTTCATGCATCGATATCCCCACAATGTTCTCTACGATTATCCACCGTATTTAAAAATTAGTGTGGAATTATTTGAGATTAGCTCACTAATCAAGGTCAAAATATTTGAGATTAACTCGCTTGATTTGCACTAAATTTCTTGGATAAGTGGAGGTGTGTGCTATTGAGCGAGTATTTAAATTGTATGATACTTATTCAATTTTAATAAGCTTTGATTGAGTTGAAGATCACCAGCTGAAGTTTGGGACCCGTCGTGCCTCCTTAGATATATAGTTTTCTTGCATTTTTGAAAACTTAGACAAAGTATTATACATCACCCTCCCCAAACCTAAGTTTCTTCGACCACATGCCGTTGCTTGGAATTGTTTGATTATGATGGCCGAGGAGACCTTAATAGTCAAACATATCTTATTGGGCATCATATCAACACGCATCTATTCATTTCGCGGAAAATGTGATATTTTTTGAAAATATTTTCTAGGAAGTCATTTTCCATGAAAATGACAATATTTTCCAGTGTTTAGCTGAAAATGACAAAAATGTTTTCCTGGAAAATATTTTCGGCGAAACGAACGGAACTTAAGTTACAATGAGTTGAGTCTAACCCTTCAGGATCAGCGCAGTTGGTTCAAATGACAGAGAATTTCCAGCTCAAGCTCCAGAGGTCGCTTGTTTAAATCCCACTAGACCTGTTAAACAGGTGGATCGGGTCGGGTTTGGATCGGGTCATAAATGGTCCAATCCAAATTGACCATTAACCCGTTTATGACCCATTTATTCGTAGTGTAAATATCTCGACCCATACCCGACCCGACCCATATTGCTAAAACACTTTTATATTTAACCTAATCTAGGAATACTTGTTTCTTATGATTTTTTTTTAAATTATACTGCTAAAAAATTTTATGCAATACAAAGCTAGTGAAAAAATTTTATAATTTTTTTTAAAATTGAGGTTCTGTTTATTTTGCGAAAAATGTGACATTTCTAGAAAATATTTTCCATAAAGTCATTATCCGAGAAAATAAAAAAATTTCTGACATTTGGCTGAAACCTGAAAATAAACTAGAAAATATTTTTCGATATTTGGTATATAAAATCTGATTTGATTTTACTTTGTGCATTCATTTTAATAATATTAATATTTTTGTAATTTTTATATCGAATTTTTAATTTTTTTTTTCTTTTTTTCTTTTTCCTTTATTTTTGGCCGATCGCCGACCGTCGTGGCCGACGATTGACCATAGGCAAGGACGAGCTCGCCGGAGGCCGGCGAATCTCGTTCTCGCCGATCTGGAGAGGCGGAGGCCTCGCTGGCCTCAGGTGAGGCTCCAGCTCGCCCGATTCCGTCGAGCCGAGCCTTGCCAACCTCAGGTGAGGCTCCAGCTCGCCCGATTCCGTCGAGCCGAGCCTTGCCAACCTCAGGTGAGGCTCCACCTCGCCAGATCCGGCGAGGTGGAGCTCGCTCGAGGCCGGCGAGCTCGAGTCTCGCCAGCCTCGGGCGAGGCTCCACCTTGCCGGATTCATGCGAGGTCGAGCTTGCCCGAGGCCGGCGAGCTCGAGTCTCGCCAGATCAGAGAGGCTAGAGCCTCGCCAGGATCAGGCGAGCCTCGAGGTCGTCGGAATTGGGCGAGCTCGAGGCTTGCCAGATCGGCGAGGCTGGAGCCTCGCCACAGGTCAGCGAGGCCTCAGCCTCGCCGGGATCGGGCGAGCCTCGAGGTCGCCAGGATCGGGCAAGCTCGAGGTCGCCGAAATCGACGAGGCTCGAGCCTCGCTCGAGGCCGGCGAGCTCGAGCTTTGCCGACCTCCGGCCAAGTCGTCCAGCCCCGGTGGCCGGTCGCCGTGGCCGACCACCGGCCGAAATAAAAAAAAAAAAAGAAAAAGAAAGAAGAGAAAAGAAAAAATAAAAAAATAAAATAAAAGGAGAAAAAATAAAAATAATTAAATTTCGATTTTTTTTAAATATTTTTATAAAGAGGGAGAGAGTGTGTGGATGGGTCTAGTAGGTGGGTTGGACATGGGTTCCAAATTCAACTCATTTAGATTCATTTATTTATAAGCTTTAAAATTTAAAACCCATTTAAGGTTGACTCTTTAAAATTAAAGTGACCCATATATGACCCATTTATTTTTAAATGGGTCATATATGGGTTTAAGACCCATTTTGACACATCTAAATCCCACCAACCACGTGCGAAGTGCTTTGGGCCATGGCTTCTGCACCAACCAAAAGTCTGAATCAAACTTAACCGGTTCATGAAGTTTGCCCAGTGTTCAATAGGTCACAACGAGCTCGATTTGTGCCCAAACGGCAAAGACGAACCCCATAAATCAAGACCATGAGGCATGTATCCGATTTCCGACTCGGCTTCAACATCAATCTCTCAAATTTCAAATTTTTCTAAACAAGAAGCTCTCAATTTGAGCTCAAGCATTGCGTTTGAATTTGAGTTCGACTCTCCCTTTGGAAGATCATGTTGCTAGTACTCGTACTAATTGAAATATTTTTTACATGGGAACGAAGGCTATGGATTACGGCAATTGCATGCATGCAATTTGGGGAAAAGGGCCATAAAGGTCCTAGACCTTTTGTATTAGTGTCAATTCAGTCCTAAACCTTTTTTTGGTGCCAATTCAGTCCTAAACCTTTTGCATTGGTGCCAATTCAGTCCTAAACCTTTTGCATTGATGCCAATTTAGTCCTAAACCTTTTTATGGTGCCAATTCAGTCCTAAACATTTTTAAATTGGTGCCAATTCAGTCCTAAACCTTTTATTTTTGTGCCAATTTAGTCCTTCCGGCTAATTTTGACCGGAATTTGCCGACGTGGACGCCTGCCGGTCGGCGGCCACCGCGGCGCCGACGTGCGTGGCTGACGTGGACAAATTAAATAATATTTTAATATTTTTTGAATTTTTTTATTTTTTTTTTTTTTCCACTTTTTTTTGGGGTTTCTCCTTCCTCTAGCCGGTCGCCGGTCCGGTGACCGGCCAGAGGCCAGAGGCCAGCGAGCTTGACCTCGCCGGCCACTGGGGATGGCGGCCTCGCGCGGCGAGGGCGAGCCTCGCCCAGCCGCCGGCGAGGCCCGACCTCGCTAAATCCGGCGAGGTCGGGCCTCCCCCGACCATGGCGAGGCTCGCCCTTGCCGCGGCCTCTGGCGAGGGCTCGAGCCTCGCCATGGTCGGGGGAGGCCCGACCTCGCCGAATCTGGCGAGGTCGAGCCTCGCCTGACCAAGGCGAGGCTTGGCCTCCCTGGGCGAGGTCGCCCTCCTTAGTGGCCGGCGAGGTCGAGCTCGCCGACCTCTGGCCTCTGGCCGGTCACCGGACCGGCGACCGGCCAGAGGAAGGAGAAACCCAAAAAAAAAAGTGGAAAAAAAAAGAAAAAAAGGAAAAAAATAAAAATTCAAAAAAATATTAAAATATTATTTAATTTGTCCACATCGACGCCGGTGATCGGTCGCCGGCCAGCAGGCGTCCACGTCGGCAAATTCCGGTCAAAATTAGCCGGAAGGACTAAATTAGCACAAAAACAAAAAGTTTAGGACTGAATTGGCATCAATTTAAAAGGTTTAGGACTGAATTGGCACCAAAAAAAGGTTTAGAACTAAATTGGCATCAATGCAAAAGGTTTTAGGACTGAATTGGTACAAAAAAAAAGTTTAGGACTAAATTAGCACTAATATAAAAGGTTTAGGACTTTATGGCACTTTTCCCATGCAATTTGGTTTGGAAAAAGCCGGCGCTTTGACCAAGCTTTTATTGTGATAAGAGAGAAAGAGACCCAGCGGTTTATGTATAAAGCTTTTGAAGTCTTTGAAAGTTGGCAAGTTCCGCCGTCCTTCGCTATATAGTTTAAGCTAGCACGATACATTTTGATACATTTAAATAGGCTCAATACCCAAAAAAATCCCAAATTTTAGACTTTGTCTTAATTATATCCAAAAAAAAATTTTATCTCGTAAAAAATCTCAAATTTTTACTTTTATCCCAAATTTATCACCGTTAACTTTTCGTCCAATATGGCCGTTAATGATCCTACGTGGATTTCCACGTCAACCCTCAATCGGACGTGGCTCTGATGTGGCGCCACGCGAACGCCACATTGGAAAAAAAAAATTGCACTGTTCATCGTCTTCTCCACAGCCGCGAGCGCTGTTCATGGCGTTCATCCTCTTCAATCGGTTGGCCAAACTCCTCCGGCACTCTTGCTTCGCTGGCCACTGCTACCTAGACCTCCGGCGGCTCTCGTCGGCGCTTGCCGGACCATCCAGCTTCGAAGATCGAGGTTCAAGCCAAGCTTCGATCTCGAGCGGCCATAGCGGTCGCGAGCTTAGAAGCTCGCTCGACCTTCAAGCCAAGCTTCGAGCTCGAGCGGCCATGGCAGCCACAAGCTTCGAGCTAGAGCGGTCATGGCGGCCGCGAGCTTCGAAGCAGCTTGAAGGTCGAGCTTCGAATCTCGCAAGTGGTCGCAAGCCGCCATGACCGCTCTAGCTCGACCATCGCTCAAGAAAAAGAAAAAAAAAAAGAACCTTTAAGCTTCTTCTTCTTCTTCTTCACTGAGTTCCTTCCTTACTGGTGCAACAATGGCGTCCTCGTCGAGAAGCAGATCCAGGGGCCATCTCTGCTCCACGTTCCACACCTCTTCCCTGTCAATCGCTTCCTCGTCATCCTCAGGTTTTGCTTCGTCGAGCTCGAGCTTCGCCGCGCGATCGTCCACCTTCTTCTCCGGCGAGGCCTCCCCGCTGCGCGTCCGGATGTCCGGGCAGCACTCGAGCCACTCGTCCCCGTCCGTCCGCTTCTCAATCGACTGGCCCACGTCCCCCGGCCAATCGATCTCCGTCAGGAACCAGATCGGGGGCGGCGGCGGGGGCGGCGGCGGCAAGGCGGCGACCATGCCGAACCAGAAGAAGACGTGCATGTGCTCTCCGACGACGCATCCCGGGTCGTTCTGGTGCTCGCTGCACAAGAACTCGAGATCTAGCGCCCAGCATCACTTCGCGCCTTACAATTCGAGCAGTAGGTTGAATTTCACAAAAAAATAGTTTGCGACCACCCGCGAGCTTCGAAGGTCGAGCTTCAAGCTGCTTCGAAGCTCGCGGCCGCCATGGATGCTCGAGCTCGACTTGAAGGCCGAGCTTCGAAGCTCGCGGCCGCCATGGCCGCTCGAGCTCAAAGCTTGGCTTGAACGTCGATCTTCAAAGCTGGTGGATGGTCTGGCAAGCGCCGACGAGAGCCGCCGGAGGTCTAGGTAGTAGTGGCCAGCGAAGCAAGAGCGCCGGAGGAGTTTGGCCAACCGATTGAAGAGGATGAACACCATGAACAGTGCTCGTGGCTGTGGAGAAGACGATAAACAGTGCAATTTTTTTTTCCATCAGAGCCACGTCCGACTTAGGGTTGACGTCCACGTAGGATCATTAACGGTCATATTGAACGAAAAGTTAACGGTAAATTTGAGACAAAAATAAAAATTTGAAGTTTTTTATGAAATAAATTTTTTTTTTGAATATAATTAGAACAAAATATAAAATTTGGAATTTTTTTGAGTATTGGGCCATTTAAATATGTTTATGTCAAAAGGACCGTGACCTTTTTTTTTTATCAGACAAAAATACCATGACTTGAGAACCGCACAATTGACATCCAGAGATATGACACGACTGATAAAACGTGTCGTGTTCTGGTTAAACCCAAATTTGACATGACACCATTAGGACATGAGAACACTAACTGCCACGAAGTGCCCGTCTCAAGTGCAATCACGATTACTTCCAAAAACATATTAAAACACTTAAAAGAACAGCATGATCCATACATTTGAACACAAAAGTAGTCTTGCCCTATATATGTTTACATCTAGCACTGCTCATACAATGGTGGAGAACTCTCTTCCTCGTACATGATTTACTTCAGGTCGTGAGGTTTCGTTTTGCTTTTCAACGAAAGCCCTGCGTAAAGATTTTCTTCATAGTGTTTACATGTAGATACACGACTGCACAACTCGGATTCCAAATGCTTCGATACGATGACCGATCAAAATTTTCCAGCGGAGTTAACAGGCAAAATAACCATGAAATTTGATAGACCAGCACTTATTGAACCATTATAGTCAAGGTTGGTTGAGATGAGTTGCTGCTTAAATAAAGTTTTACAAGAAGTTTCTAGGACTAGAGCTAGATAATAGTTAGATATCAAGCGTCGACAAGCTTGGGTTGCAGCAGAGGAGATCCCCATATAGTTATCTCTGAAAGGTGCTCTCGTATGGACAAACGCACAACCCGGATCGCTACTTCCTAAAATTGGCTAAACGAATCAAGCCATATTTTCCAGAGGGCTTCAACAAGTCCCCGACACAGCTTTGCCGACATTCTGCAGCACCTGCTAGACCGAGGAAGTTGCCTACAATACTTACACTGGGTTCCAACTAGTTTCACATGCTCAATTTTCCAGACTCCGATCTGATTGGTGTCTTCGGGGAGTGGAGACTAGGGGAGTTGCCTACCTTAGCAGTTGAGCGGTGATTCTTCGCCAGTGGCACCAGAGACTGCACGACATCCGCCATAAGTGGCCGGTAGTCTGATTCTGGCTGCACACACATTGCAGCGATTGCCGCCACCTGAATGACCTCTTTCAGTGAATACTGACCCTCTAATGCAGGATCCATTATCTGCACGACCTTTTCCCTGTCCGTTAGCTGAGGCAAAGCCTGTCGGGCAACAGTAAAGACCCATTAGAATGTGGATCTAGAACAACAATAGATTTTCAGAGATGTTGACTGTCAAAAGGGAAGAGAGCAGATTCTGTAAAGGAATGGGAAACAAGATTTGGAACAATTTGAATACATATACATATCAGATGCAAGAAGATGAAAGAAGAAACGCACCCACGACACAAGGACCCCTTCTCCAGGAGGTCTCTTCATATCAACAGGAACTCTTCCAGTGAGCAACTCCAAGAGAACAACACCGTAACTGTACACATCTGATTTTGTAGTCAAATGACCCGTCAATGCATACCTGCATATCAATAATATCAGTACCGAAATGACTCTGATCACTATGAGGTTACTGAGAAAATAAAACACAACCAAAATGAGAAGAATAATAAGTAGTTCATACTCGGGGGCTACATATCCCTGTGTTCCCAAAACTCGGGTGGAAACATGGCCTCCAGCTTTCTCAGATCCAAGCTTGGCCAATCCAAAGTCAGAAACTTTGGCATGGAAATTTCTGTCCAAGAGGATGTTGCTGCTCTTGAAATCTCTGTGAATCACTGGAGGATTAATGTGCTCATGGAGATACTCCAGACCTTTTGCAGCTTCTAGAGCTATTCTTAGCCTGGTTTCCCAGTCCAACTTTGAGTAGCGAGCACTAGAACCTGCAGAGAACTTGAACACTAAATTTAACCAGCAAGAAACCCCTTCAACACAATCTGTATTGGAACAACTCGTGCATGAGTGAAGATTTGGTAAAACATTCACAGATGAAGCAGACTTTATCAGCTAAGAAAAGGCAGGACATTGCTGCTCAAACCTAACTTGGAATTGCGTTGTGACAATTTACTTTCTACAACAACAGGTTGGTTTAAAAGCAAAGAAACGAAACACATGACACAGTAATAGTAATGAAGAGAAATGGAAACAAGCTACTCTACCGTTATTATTAGATAAAAATGAGAGCTTCAACCCTATTGAAGAGAACATTGACACAATGTAAAAATTAAAATTCAGTAAATTTATAGGAAAGATAGAAATTTACTGCCAAATTAAGTTCTAAAAAAACGCACGGACTTGCTAGAATAGTCCGTGAAGTCCCAATGTTCAATTCTGAGATCCTATATCCCTAGAGTATGGACTAGAGTCCATATGTTTCAAGCATCGGAATCAAAATAAAAAATGCTACTCACTGCTCAAAGGGTATAAATGTTCCTGCAGACCACCATTTGCCATAAAGTCATACACCAGTAACTTATGATTATGATCAGAACAATATCCAAGCAAAGCAAGCAAATAAGGAGAATGCAACCTGCTCAGCAACTCCACCTGCACAAAAGATAACATTGATCGACTAATAGATCTGAAATCATACTCCTCGATAGAAGATAATATGACATGAATTAAGCAAACATCTATATCCACCGAACCTCCACTTTAAATTCCTCCTCTCCCTGCTTCCCCGTCTGGTCCATGAACTTAATGGCGACTTTCCGGCCATCGCTGAGCACTCCTCGATAGACCAATCCGAAGCTACCATGCCCGATCACATTGGACTTGCTAAAACCACCAGTAGCTGAATGTAGCTGCTTGAATGAGAACACCTGAAGACCATTCTCGGAAGCAACTTGGAGATCCCCAAAACCACCTTTCTCCACGTCATTAAACCCTTGTAGCAGGCAATTAAGACCACATTAACTTACGCTATAACTTTGATGCTAAGAAGAAACAGAGAAACGCTGACATTAACGAAAAACAAAAACTAGATTTTCAACAGTCTCAGCACAAGCAAAACAAAAACAAACTAGGCGGGCATGATTTTCTGATACTTAAAGCAAAAAAAATAATAAAATGGTAACTCCGTGCAAGTTTCTACGATCTCGAAGAGCTTCATTTGAAGCAAAGACCGAAGAATTTAAGAAACAACACCAAAATAGAAGCTTGAAATGAAGCTAAGAAAATCCCTCATTCGAACTCCAGAAAAGCAGAGAAACCCACTTCTACTCGCAAAAAATCTCTTCACCGACACTCAAATGGAGCCACATTTTCACCACCCAGAAAGCTACAGAGCAGAAGATCAACGCACAGAAAGACTCAGTCACCCACATTTCACTTCCTGCACACACTCTAAAAACCAAACAGGCACCAAAAAAGAAAAATGCAGAGCAGGCAAGGAAGCTGAAGGCCACGAAATGCGGCTCACCTCGGGCCTTCTTCAAGCGCTTGGAGACCTTGTTGCGGATGTAGCAGTAGTAGCTGAAGGCCACGAGCAAGGAGGCCATGGCCAGGGAAGCGAGCACGACGATGATGACCAGTGCCGCGCGCTCTTTCCTCTCGTACTCGCCTTCTGCAGGGGCTTCCATCTCCCTCGTCAGGATCTAGCTAGGGAGGGGAACCCTAAGCCCCCGTTAAAGAGCAAGAGGGTCGAAGAAGAAGCAAGAAGAGACGTTAGAGAGAGAGAGAGAGAGAGAGAGAGAGAGTGGTGGCTCTGCTGCTCTTGCCGGAAATGGGAAGTGAGAGAAAGAACAGAGCGAGTGGCGCTCGTGTGTGTGTGTGTGGGTGTGTGTCTCCGAGACTTTGCCACTGTGCTGTGTTTTGTCTCGTTTTGTGGCGCGGAGAAATAGTGAGAAAAAAAACAGAGCCCTGTGTCTGAAAAGCTGATTGTGAACAGTTGGTCGGGTGGTAGATTTTCTTTTCCTTTTTTTTTTTTTACCGATGAGCAGAAAGCTTCTGTTTTTTTTTTTTTTTGGCTTTTTTCCTTTTTTTTGCTGTTATTACGTTCATGGTCCAAGACGATTAAAATTGAATGAATTTATGACAAAATTATGCCGTTGCAAAGTCATTCCCAGAGAATCTCGAAGATCAATTAGTGAAAGGAATAGTTAGAAGGAGAACGATGGTGAAGCCAAAAGCAAAAAGGAAACTCAGCTCATCCATTTCGATTTCTGAAAAACAATGACGGGACACGAGGTGCGACCGGCGTAACTATCCTGCATGTCGCACCGAATCGCCGTGTACCGGAGCCAAAGACCGAAGAGATCTTCCGGAAATGTATACAAAGTTTAGAATGGCTCTTTGGCTGCACCTAAGAGCCACCTTTTGCTTTCTTGATGAACTTTTTCTCTGCACCTCGCTGTTGGACAAAGGCTCTGCAAAAGTGGGGGGTAAGAAGGAACTGATCGAGAGGGAAACGTTTGCAATGATCTTCGACTTTGGATTTTGCACGGACGTCACAGAGAGGCAACACGTGAAACACATTCACTTTGGATTCCTTGGGAAAATAAAAGTAAAAGTGATAGCCAAGAAAAGAACGGAAGAAAAGATGAAGAGCCAAAAAAAAGGGCTGATCGTATCCTGAGTCAGATCTTTTTGCGCATCAGAAGACACTTTGATATGGCAAGGAAAAGCCACCCCAGTGGCATTATCACATCAGAAGATTCAAAGAGAAACCACTTGCACGAGATGTGAGATCTTTGGGACAACTTGTGAGACTATGTAACAATTCATGCTTCTCAAGTGGAAGAAGTGCCGTACTTTCTTCTTCCTTTCCTAAACCGGCAATTAGCAGATCGCATAAACAAAAGCTCATCGGTATTGCCTGTCGCGAACGCGGAATCCCGTACAATCTTATTCGATCTGGGGGTTTGAAGATGAAGCCGCCACGAAAATCCTAGTTAACTTGCTAATTCAGCTATGCTTCCCGTAGTGTATGAACCCTCACAGTAGAAGGATTTCCTATTCCAGCATTTTCACAGGGTGCGAGACAAAAGCAAATGCTGCCGACACTACGCGCATGACCCCCAAAACGCCAAGGACGGTGGCTTCCGATACTCAAATGGCACCCTACAAATTGACGTGGCTTGGAGCAGCGGTCATAATTCATGTACAGCTCAAAAGTAAAGGAATGGAATGGAAACATGAAACCTTCAACTCACATGTCAAGCAAATTTAATGAGAAATGTTTCGATTAATCGAGGCATTTATTATACATGAGGCAAAAACTCAATGCATTGAAAACTCAACACTCTCGAACTCTATTCTGTGCCTCTTTGGCCGAAAAAACAGAGAACTCTATCTTGTGACTAGAACTCGGAGGCACTCGCCGATTTTGTCCTCCTTGCACGATGATGCTGGAAAAAGGAGATCAACACATACCGCTTGCAAGAGCAGAAGAATCAATACAAGAGATCAAGGCTGTTGCATACTGCAAATCGACTCACAAAGTCATGAGGAGTACAGAAAATTAAAAAATAAAAAGAACTAAAAACGAACATGAAAGTAAAGAACGCTCTCCATGTTGCACGTACAACCTTCTGCTCACATGCATCTGCCTCAGCTGGAGGGGTTATCATTTCATACTTCTCAATCAAAGGTCATTGCCCGATTAATTGATCAATCGCCGATGCCAAATGCTTATCGCTAAATCCAAAGAATAAACTGCAAGAGCAACATGACTACAAGAACAAGAGACCCATCTCATGTAACCATTCTATGATAGTCCCATGAAATTTTTTGCTGGAGAGAAATGCCTTAATAACCATCTCTCAGGAAATAAAAGAGAGAGGAAGCGCAACCAAAATAACCTAAGCATGATGAATCTTGTGGTAGCCCCAGCGCTTCATCACAAGAAAAAATGATTGAGGAGTTCGCCCTGGGCAACATCAGCTCAGACTAACTTTGTTATAGTGATCCGCAGCTTTTGATAGCGACTGTATTGAAACAGAGAATCCAGGTCCCATCTGCATGTGAACAGAGTTATAACATATTAATCTGGCTTAGAACATCATTTCAGCTGTGGTTATAGATGCTCCTTAGTAATTTAAGCTGTGCATGACAACAAAGTTAACCAGCAAAAAGATTAAAACCATTAGTGTCAACTATCCAGGTAGATGAAAAATCAACCAGAGTTAATAACATTTATGGATAATTAAACATCTAGTTCTCCCTTTTAAACTATCACATAGCTAATCATCTCAAATAGGACAATAGTAAAGATCCACCACTGTAGACAACAAACAAAAGGGAAAAAGCACAGATTGTGAGATCTTTAATCACGGATCATTCTTCGGAGGAGGAGGAAGGGGAAGGGAGGACGGGGGAGAGACATGGTGGTATGTCGGCTTTCAATGCTTCTTCAAACAAATAGTAAACACCAAATAAGACAGACCTGGGCAAAAGAGAGATTTTGGTCATTTATGGACTACTGAATAGAATTTGTGAATAATAACACATCCTCCAGTTATATGGAGTTTCACACAAATTTCTATCAGAGAAGGTTGTTTATTATAATTTTAAGTACACCGTAACAGGAGACCTACGGAATATTGGATTTTGGACTTGGGATAGCTGGTAAATCTCTAAAAGGCTATTTACCCTAGAACCACTCAACCAATATTTAGTCAATGGACAAACTTTTACACAGGTAGATTAGCAAAAAGAGCAGGTTTTTAGTAGCATATATGGAAGATCCATTAGCTATAAAGATAAAAACACTATCAAGTGATCTAAAAACATTCAGTTGCACAATGAATCAAAGCTGACAAAGAGATGCTAAAATTAACCCAGAGCACCGCTTACAAACATACCGTGCTGCATATATGGAAAGAGTTCACATAACCAGCATATTTGGAAGCTGCAAAAATAATTTAAAATGATACATCAGAAATCTTAATAGATAAGACCATGTGTGGACATAGTATAATTGCAGCAAAATTTTTTATTAACACAAGGTAACATGGACATGTTGATGTTATTTCTATATCTAAGATAACCACAATGTGAGATACATAGAGGTGGTCCTATAATTACAGGAGCAGCTTGCTCCTTCCAAATCCAGGGCATCAGGACTTCAGTGCACCAAACAGAAGAAGCAAGATCACTCTAGATATCCTTTTAGATTTAGGAGGAAAAACACAGTCATTATGTAAGTTGAGGAAACAAGTAAAACAAAAGCATCTAGACTCAATATAAATGACACTCAAACAGCAGCTCTCCACCCATTCTTCCGAAAGAACTCCAGACCAGTCTCAATGGCTCATTGTCACTTTAATAGAAGAATCCAGAGACTGTCTTTATAGGGAACTAAATGCACAGCTTTTAAAGTCTATGCCCTGTAATAGGTGAAAGAATTCACATGCAATTGGTTGAAATTCATTTAAAGCACTAACCTTTTTCTTGGTGTGTTATTACAAATCAAACCATCCAAAGAAGAAAAATTAAAGGACAAAAAACATTACTTCGTAGTTCTGTAGCTCCAAAAATTACATGAATCATGTTCTATTGAAACAATTGCATCATGCTGCATATGCCCTCGTGTCATTTTCTAGACATTTTCAATATGGCCTGACATAAAAGTTAAAATTAATTTGAATAAGTATTCTTCTTCTCTCTCCTATCTTGCAACACATTTGTGAAAAAAAGACATACTGTCAACTACTGAATGTGCACTCTCTCTCCCCAAAGACCACCCATACAAGAGAGATTTTTAGGTGCTTCAAGTGCATCAAGTGGCCATCCACCCAGCCAATAACGGAGCACGCTTCTTCATGTTACTTCAATATTTCAACAACACTCTCCTCCATGAGTTTGTTGGGTGGATGGCTGTTCGGTGCTCTTGGAGCAACTAACAACTTTCTCCACATCAGTTTTGGGAATCACAATATAGAAAACGTCAACTTCCAGTGAATTCTTTGCACTTCAAAGTGATTGGATATGCAATGCTCATTTATTCTCTCTTTTCGATGAACTTAGGTAAATTTGCATGCATATATATGATAGAAAATCATAAATCATGACAACTTTCACACAGAATATATGTAACATAAGGCAAGGATGAGAGCAAAATTTTCGATTCTCTCCCATATTTCTGGTCTCAGAGCTACTACTTTAAATAATTAGTAAACCACCTGATCTCATGTCTGAGATTTAACTATATATTTGGACTTTTCACCGGGGCAACAAATAACAGTATGTCAATCTTGAATAAAGATAACTTACTTTTCTTCAGCCCTGCAGGTTTGGCACGCAAAAGTGCATTCACAAAAGCACCTATATTCTCACGTAAATCATCCTCTGACAAGCTCACCTACAGGAAAGTATAGCAATCACAGGCGGATAATCAAATCAATGAAACCAAGGGTCTATGTCATGCTAAAGGAACATGATGGTGGATACCTTCCCAACTCCGACGTGCACAATAGATGTTTTGTCCATTTTAAAATCAACATTACTCTGCTTTGCCTCCCTCACAGCTCGGGCAACATCACTAACCAAGGTGCCTTGCTATTCCATATATAAATAATTTATAATCAGGAAAAAACTCAGTTCAGAGATCCGTAAATATAATTGAAAGTTCAAGAACACTCACTTTGGCATTTGGCAGCAAACCCAGAGGTTTTAGAACCTTTGCTATCTGCAAGAGTTCAATTCGCACCTCCGGTTAGGGTGACAAATATGTAAAAACTACACTTTCACTGTAGAGTCGAGTTAGATAACCTTTAGGACTTGGGGCATAAATCCCGGAGTTGTGAAACACTTTTGAACATCAAACTTGCCACCACCTACAACGAACCAAGGGAAAACATGTTACACATAATAAAAGCAAAACTAATGTCCCCAGGAAATTTAGGAACAAAGGCATAGAATGACAAAAAAGCACTCTATTGTTATGCTGAACATTTGATGTATAGCGAAGAAAAAGGATCCTTGGCTTCTCTTTAAACTGTAAACATATACAGGAGACATATCGACCTAAGAGAAAAATGTAAGCACTGAAAGTATCATCTATTTGACTTCTGACAATCTATCTCAAATTTTAGAGCATTATACATAACTGTGGTGTCACAACGTGAGTAGCAATAATTTTCATAGTTTGCTGAGTGAATTATGCCGCCAGCAACCATGATAACAAGATCAGTTCATTACTATTAGCAATCTTCTCAACAAGTTCAGGACCACCAACTATATCAGCACCAGCTGCTCTAGCTTCATCAGCATCTGCCCCCTCACCCAGGAAAGCTATCTTGGAAACCTGAATAGAATCATAATTAACAGATGAATAAACTATGTCGAGCTGATAAGAGTGAATCCTAATGAAGAATGGAAGTAGCTAGTACCTTCATCCCAGTGCCGTGAGGTAAAACTAAGCTACCACGAACTATCTGTACCAGAGTTTCGGATAATCAGAAAGTAAATAAAAGTTTGGAAGATGAAACTATCAAGCTATGCAACAGAGGTGACATGACACAAATATTTCGCTGCTGTAGAACAAGAATCAGATAAAGGCCAAAACAGACCAAAAGGTTTCCTCAGACAAGTCTAACATGTATTTGACCCAAAAAAAAAAAGTCTAACATGTAGAGGCATATACATAGTATAGACTTATAATATTGATACCCTAATAAAGATCTAGATGATTGATTATTCCATCACTACAAAAGGATATTGGCAGTTGACTCAACAAACAGACATAACCTTTCAGTATGTGCCAAAGATATAGCATCATATCCACAAAGATATTCTGACCTATGACCAGATAACATGACAGTAGAGGACATTGTAAGCCCATCTAGACTGATACGTAAGATGACTTAGAAAGGATGAGATAAAGACAGCACACGATCAGAGCGGGCCGTGAATTACCAAGTCACTTCGCTTTTTCTCAATGCCCAACCTTACATGGGCTTCAATGGTTTCATCAAATTTTGCCCGTGCATTAGCCTGAAAAAGTGCAAACACTCATAATTAACAGTTAATTTTACTTAAATACAAGTCATAAGGCCAATAACATCGCAACTCTCAGGATAGAAAAAATTTAAGGACCTCTGTCATATCAAACTGGAACTTTGGCAATTATGCATCAGTAACAAGCCAACATGCAAACAAAAATACTACCTTCAGCTTGGGCATATAGTACAAATGTCAAAGATCTGTCCAATATTTTCTATAAATAAAGGTCAATTTCCAGCCTAGTAAAAGGTAATAATGCGAAAAGAAATTTGGACACTGATTCATATAAGTACATGAACCATAATAACCTGGTATTAAACCGGTTCCCATTCACCTATTAGCTCCTTCGTATGTATGCCTTGATATGCTAGTTTTTCAAGAGATACCCCCTAAGTTCAAACTTTTTTTAAGAATTGGTAAAACCTCCCAAAAACAAAAAGTTCTTTTTTGATCATTAAGAAGCACCACAATGTAGACGATGTGTAGCAAAGCACTGACAGGGTATTGAATGAGAAAAGAAGAAACGGGTGTTATGGTGGCAAAAGGGCAAACACACGGAGAACCTAGCATTTCAGTCTTCAACCATATAGACGGATTATCTCCCTACAAAATTTACATTTCTTCTCAAAGTGCGGTACAAGATGAGTAGAAATTGACAAGAAGGGTTCCCACACTGACAAAAGTTGTAGCCTTTCCATGTCAATTGATATGAAACATGTACATTTGCTAGCCAAAGCTCTTGAGCAGCTCTACATTTCGAAAACATGCCCAAATGACATATTCCTTATCAAATGGAAGAGATTTCTACTGCTGCTGCACTTGCATAGTGCCTCTACAATCCAACACAGGGCATTCCCAATTCATCAAGAACAGCATCGATCGAAACTAACCTTGACAAGCCGGATCGCCTCGGCCAAATCGAAAACAGCCTTGCTCTCCCTCTTCTCAACCTTCAGTATCATCGGGAACGGCACCATCGCCTGCTCCTCCTCCTCCAAAACCCGCGACAATCTCCTCCTCCTCATCATGGCCGCTCGATCACCCGCCTCGGTCGGCCTCCTCTCAAACTCCATCCCCTCACTCCGCTTCTCCGCCTCCGCCCCCTCTACCGCCGCGTCCTCCGCCGATGCCCTATCCTCCGGGAGCGGCGCCACGCGCATGGCGTACGACACGGGGGATATGGACGGCGCGTCCTTCATGTAACGGATGTCCTCCCGAGTCCAACGCGCCCGAGGCTCGCGGATCGGCGCCTCGCGCGGCGGCGGCGGCTGCGGCTGCTGCTGCGGCTGCGGCGGGGGCTGAGCATCGCGTTGAGCCGGAGCTTCGGGAGAAGGGGGCGGGGCTTCCTTGGGCTTGGCGGCGTAGGAGACTGGTTGGATAGGGACGGACTGGGGTGGCAGCCGTCGCTCCTTCGGCGGCTCGGGAGGAGCGCCGCCGTCGTTTGGAGGGGGTTGCGATTCCGACGGCGAGGAGGAGGAGGAGGAGAGGTACTTGGGGAGATGGTGGAGAGGAGAAGGGCGGGAGGAGGAGGCGGCGGAGGAGGCCGGGCTGAGGAGGCAGTGGCGGAGAGCTTGGGAGAGGAGGAGCTTCAGCGAGGCCATGGGGCTACGGCGGGACTCCGGCCGGCGTCGCGACGGCGGACATGCACTTCGCTTTGGGGAGTTGCAGACGAGGCCAGGGTTTTTGAAGAAACCGGACAGGGGGTTTTGGGTTTTCGGGGGAGAAGGTGATTTTCCCATTTCTCGTGTTTCTCCATTTTTTGTTTTTTTTTATTTATTTTTTTGTTGGCAGAAGAAATTCTAAATCCCCAAATATCTTTCTTTTCCTTTCAAATGGAAATTGCATTAATAAATAATGAACCTTAGCAACGAGTGCGGTACCAATAGGCATGAGATCCGGCGGGAAAGGAATTGGGGGTGGAGCCGGAAAGTACTGAGCCTGGGGTTCGATTCTTGTGAGCATCGCATATACAATTTGTATATAGAAGAGAAGAGTAAGAAAAATTGTTGTCGAATTTCTATCGAAATTCCCGAAGTCTCATATAAAATTTGCATATATTATCCTCGAAACTTGGTATTTCCAAGAAAAAAAAATCAATTAATGTGCTTAGGTGAAATTCTCATCTCCCTCGCTACCATAACTCTTTCTACTTTTTTTCGACCAAATCCAAATTTTATTTTGCTTCTCCCGAAACCCGATCAACTCGACTCTTTCTCTTGTGCCAGGCCTCACACTTGGGTTCGTTCTTCTTCTTCTATATCGTCGCTCGAAATAAGAACGTGACTTATCCCAATGCCCACCGCCGGCCCTTCTCCTTTCCAAGCATGGATTTTTTGAGTCGTGGTCGATGGGGATAAAAAAAAATGAATAAATATGTTTCTTGAAGTTCTTAAACATGCTTAAAATGTTATCAATTTCAAAGAATTGATTGCATATGAACAAAACTAACCTATTAAAAATCATATTTTATATATTTATTTATTTAATCAAGCTTGAAAAAACCAGCTCCAAGCATGTTATGATGCTTCGACTTTAGAGTGGCGACACTCAGTTTTCCAAGATGAAACGCTCGAACCGACTTTGTTTCAACCTCTCATCAATCGTCATGATGGATTGGAGACATAGGATAATCCCCAAGTACTCCACGTAAGAACATTTATTCCTCAGTAGCACAAAAAACGTACAACCTCAAGGAGTCACAGAAGCAGTGTTATGAACGAACACGGAGCGGTAAACCGATCGAACTTGAATAGCACACTGTGACTTCAACTTGGATTGATTATATCCAGATAAGCCGCTCCGGATTCCGAATTTCACTCGGGCCATGAAACTTTTCTTAAACAATTTCACTTGAGAGAGACGGCGAGAGAGAGAAAACGTAATTTTGGCTCACATGTATGAAAAAGAAAATTGAAAATTCACATTTGGATCCGCAACATGGCATGAATCACCAAACCTCCTATCTTGACTGTCTGTCCAAGCTCCATCTAGATGAATCTTTCTGGCGAAAATTGAACAGGTGTCAGCCCGATGGATTCATATATAACTCACCTAAACGAATTAACCTATCGAATATCGATGCGAGAATCATGAGTAACTGGACTGTCCCAATAGTAGATCGACCATGTCATCAGGAGTTAGAAGAGTTGTTCCACCCAGGATCAATTGCACATCAGGCCTGCCACTTTCAGAAACTGCCTCCTGGACTTCTCGGACCTGCAAGAGAGAGACAAAGTGGTAGTCATTTCGTTATCGTTGTTCTACACCACGATACAACCTAGCACGTCTCTACAGTGCCTCAGGGTGTTGCCTCGAGGGTTTAGATGTTGCCGAGCAACGGGCAGGCGCAGGCCAATTCCCTACGTCGGGCCAAATTTGTTGCCTAGTCCCGCCCATAATAAAAAACTTCATGTACAAAATTTGCAGGCCATGCTTTATAACTAAATAGTCATGCCCAAGCTCGGCCCGCACAAAAGTGCCCTTTAAGCCCATGGGCCGCCAAGCCCATGATCGGATCTATGGTTAAATTACCGAAAACACTTCTTGTGGCATTTTGCAACACTTCACATCATTGTCTCAACAGATTGATGGGTGCAAGTAGCGAAAGCCAAAAAAGGGAGAAAAGAGATGCACCTCCAAACCATTGATGCCCCCGACGACAAAAACCATTATCACGTCTTGATCAGATAGGCTTGGCTTTGCCTGCATTGGTTGGAAAACAGGAGTAAGCACGTATTAGATACAGGAGGGAAAATGATGAAGGGAGGAAATGGAGCTAACCTGTCCGAGGCCAAATCTCCCAAACCCACTTTTGAAAAGCCGGCCAACTGTAGAGGAATGATACTCCAAGCCAGGTATATCGGACTTGTTCAGTAACCTTGTCAAAAGCTTGTATAGTAAGCCTTTATTCAATTTGGAATCGCTATTGAAGCTACTGTCCAATGTGGACATTCCTTCTCCCAATATATTCCTTTTGCTTTTCGAGCTGGATAACTTGTGGAGGAATTTGAAAAGGTTATCAACTCTATCATGCAGTTCCAGCTTCAGTTGCATGTCGCTATACGCATGGTCTCTGTTCTCGACGTCTTCATCCCCCCAGCTATCCCACTGATCATCGTCAAAGTCATCTGTTGACGATTCCTTAGCAGACATTTCTTTAGTTTTGTCTGACTGACTCTTTTTCCTATTGGCATCAAGTTCTTCTGTTAAACCATCAAGAAACTTCAGTTCAGCAATGCCAGGGTTTTCGATAATCGCCTCGACAAGAGCTTCTTTCAATGAATGCTCCTCTTGCCAAGAAAATGGGCCACCAGATCCAGACGTTGGAAAATTCTCACCAGCCAATATGTAACCTACTACAGTAAGGAGCAAAGCGTCACAAAAAGAAAGAAGCCCATTGGACGTCCCTGTTTGCCCATTCTTTCCTCTAAGAGATCCCACTAAAACACTCTTATTGATAAGATCTCCAATTTGAGCAGCGAGACTCTGGCTGGTGTCCCCGGCACTCACACTTAGCATTCTTTCTGCACTTATGAATGCATCCCATCTAGCAGAATGTTGTTCATCAAGAGAAACTATTGTAGCTGCAGCTAACTGAATCAGCCCCTTGTTCCGAATTAATGATGACTCACTCTTGCTGAGTGCCTTAATCATAGGAAGCAATTCTGACTTTGTAGCATAACCAGGTCGAATTTTAACATTAGTATTGACATTTTCCCGACGTAGAGATTCCTGGAGCCATTTCTTCATTAATACGGTGCCATCTTTAGTTCTTCTGTCCAGTAACGCCTCTAAAAATGGTGTCCCGCGGAAAGTTTCAATGGAGACCAATGAGCCATTAAGTGGCTCCAACGACAGACCAATGGACTCCATATTGTGATTGTCGAAATTCAGCATAACTGAACTACTCATTTCAGAAGCCAAACCACCAGAATTCCACCCACTCAGAAAAGCCTTGGTCCTTTTCAGAAGCGGAATGCTCTCAACTTTTCCATCTTCACTTACGATGTCTGCAAGTCTTATCTGAACATCAAGAGGAGCACGTTGTAGGTTGCCAGTGCGTTGTTTGAGTTGAGACTGTGAACCTTTCATGTTCACAGCAGGCACCAATCTTTCTCTACGTGGCAAGGATGAAATTATTCGATCAACAAGTGAATCACCATGACAACAGGGAGTGAGAAGATCAAGGGTGCGGTCAACAAGCAATAGTCCAGCAGATCTCCTACGGCGGCCAACATCGTAAAGACTTGACATATCAGTCAAAACTTTCCCGACTGATTTTGACAGATCGCCAAAGGAAAAGATTTCCAATTTCAAGTCCATCTGCAACTCAAACAAAGAAATCAGTCATATTTACTTATCATACTAGATTCACGCTAATCTTGCACTTAATTATTGGCTTTCACACAAAAAGCCACTGCTTAACAGTGGACAACTACTACGACCACCCAAAAAAAATACACATAATTCGTGCATCGAGTCATAATTATGATGAAAAGGTAAGTAAGTGAAACAAGATTCATTTGTTTGAGTAGATAAATTAGAAAAAGCAAGAATCTCGAACTTCATTCTTAAGAACACAAGGTGAAATTTGGCTTCACTTAGGTACCAACAAACTCTCTCAACTTTCAAGAAACAGAAACTCAAATCCCTACTAAAATGTTCAATTCTATCTTTTCTTTTCCAGTGAACTAACTGAAGCAAAAATTGTAGTTTATAACAACTGACAGAACACATACTGTTATCTTCTCAACTCGACCACCACAAGGAGGTTTATCACTTCCTAACAGTTCATGCTTTCACATGTACAATTAGATAGATGTTTCAGTTTTAGAATGCCTCTACCTTAGCAGCCAAATGATAAATAAAATGCGCTGTAAGAATAGCTCCAGGAGGAATGTCATCGCCATCCAAAGGGACCCCTGTGCTCAAGGGAGGCAACCCTTGACTTATGGAATATTCATGCCCGTGTTGCAAGCAAGCTTCGGCCACAGATCCCTCAGAAGGTAAGACAAAGGCTCTGGGTGAAAGTGGACATAAAATACACGGGAAGTGATGAACAGAAACAACCAATCTTGACCCTATATCATCTTTATGACCAGCAAGATTATCTTCATATGAATCTCTTCCAGTGGAAGAAACCTCCTTATTAGGTACGTCTTCTTCACTAGAAGTGAAACGTGACCATCCTTCATCTCCAAATGCCACATCTTCAGGAGAGTTTCCATCTTTTGACTGCCTGGCTTTTGTCTCTCGCTTCTTAACAAGCTCTTCAAAATCCTGAATGAGCAAAGTTTCATATTCACGGAATGCATCTGGTCCTAGAGGTGAATCAGGATACGCTGAGTGGGCTATCTGCAAGCAAAAGGCACTAAATGAGTCTATAACACGGAGAACAAACGAGAGCCAAAAAAAAACAGAATGAGAGGCAACTAGAAATAGCTGCCAATTGCAACATCAGGCTTCTCAATTTTGTCTATTTGACATTTTCATCTAAAGTAACCTTGACGCCTATTTAAGAAAAGCAAATCATTTTTTATACCATATGGAAGTAATATATATAAAACGTGCGGTTATGTAAAAAGACTATAAGAAACAATAAAGAAGTGCATTATAGGTGATCTACCAATTAGACAAAGCAGTAAACATGGGCATACAATGGAAGTTCCTAAATTTGCATGCCAAACATTATGTGACAAAAGAACGTTAATATTGCCATAATTATGGGGTTTATAAAGCTAAACATCCTAAACATAAGGCAACATATAAGCTAAAAAACAACTGTCTCGCATAATAGTATAAGTGTAGTGCTGAAGAAGCACCTCTGAGATACATGTAAATACAGTACAACGACGAACAAGTTGATGTGAGCTCAGGCAACGTAGGATATACCGATGGGCGTCACTCAGTAGACGGGATGTCATGATAGTAACGTCCCTCCCTGGGTGTAATTTTGAGTTCCAATCAGCAACCTACATAAGAAATGGCACAGATAAGATCATTAAATTATTATTTGAGCAGTAATAAAATGACAAGACTGAAAAAATCTTCATCAATCACCCAGCTGGTTCAAGCCACTGAACTGTCTTCTTTTTTCTTTGCCATCCTCCCATTTTTCAAACACAACTTGTCATTGTCCGAGTTTCAGTTGTAGGAGATGCATAAAAAACATTCAAATTGCTAATTGTACTCCAAGTAAAAGGAAGGCAGAGTTCACTAATACTCGAGCAACTTTCTCGTTATCATATAACTCTGTCTACTGAATATATCACACTAAATGACTCTTATCATATTACATGTCGCAGTCATTGACACCCGGGTGTAGTCATTCTTCAGTGCTCACTTAGGTATCTCGGGCCATTTATTCAGTATTTCTAAGCATACGCAGAAAGATAAGGTGAAAAATAATTGCCAACACTCCATGGGGGTAGAAAAATGACCCACGCCCAGAAGTTCTTACCATGTCAAGGGGAGACATGTGCTCCAAGCTACAAACAGCACGCGCCCCGAGGCTGAGCAGCAAGGGGAAAGCTCCCAGATACTGGAAACTTTCAGTGCAGCCGCCATCTATGTAAAGAGTAGCATCCTTTATGTGCTCCGAAATCTGACCAAGCCAAGAGGAAGAATTAAAGAGGCGAACACCGCAATAGGTACAAAGTTGACACCTTCATCAATGGCGGCAACACAACCAGTTCCTCCAATAAACCAACACGAGCAAATGCACGATGGCACGGCACGAGTTTGTCTCACAGCAATCAGCAATTAAGAAAACCAATGTCTCTTCCTCTGAGTGTGCGATTGGCAAACAACAAGACCCTAAAACGACTCAAAAGGAGCAAGAACAACACGATTCCGCCCGACGATCCATAACGAACTCATGCATCGAGGTTCCGGGACAAAAACACAACACCGCACGCAAATGTCTCCCGAAGGAACAAGGGAATGGAAACCGATCAGACTTACTCCGCCGAGGGAATCGAGGCAGCATTTGGCGACGTCGACCAGAGCCATGATCGCCACGAGCCTCGCGCGCACAAACGTCCGACGTCAGTTTCGAGAGAACCGATTGAGATCAGCGGCGCGAGAGAGAGATCCAGATCATCTCGGCGACGACGGCGGTCGTGGGATCAGCGGAGGTCGAGGAAGACGATTGGTGGAGGGCTCGCGAAGCAGATCGTCGCCGCGATTGGGTTTTTCTACTCCTGAAGAAAGCTCGAGGGGCGAGCGTCGAACCGGCTGAACCGGGGGTCATCTAAAGCGGTTCGAACCGGTCGTTCCGATGACGCTTGATGATGTTGTTTCTCCCCGACCCCTGACATATAAATCTTTGTTAAGGGTGAGCATAGTTTAGCGGTTCCAATCCTAGAATTGAGAATTGTCAACTTCCAAAAATTGAAATTGGGAGCCGTCTGTTGGTTTTATGGAACCAGTCTCACCAAGCTTCACACGTCGACATTGTAATATTCAACAAAGAAATTACACAAAAATACAACTTCATTCAAGTTAAGGCATTGCTCTTCAAGTTAAGAACTTCCTAACATGCAAGAGCCAAGGATTGGAAAGTGGAAACAAACTTTTCAAGTATGACCGCATAAAGACATTTGTGCCAAGAACTTCCTAAGAAGCCAGAGCGAAAGACGTTACAATAGTTACATTTAGGGGTGTCTTTTAACTTTTCAAGTCATATAGCATTGCACTGTTACGAATGGGCAAAAGCTAACAGTGAACTTCAACAAAATGAGTTGATTTATTTTAAGCTTTACGAGCTGTGAAAATGGTAGAACCTGTGCAGCACTTACACATATAATAATCTTCTGTCAACGGTGAACTTCAACAAAATGAGTGGATAATCTCATTGCTTGCTATTTATTAGCACTTTGTCACAAGCTCATCTAGTGGACTAGCACAGTATCAAGTTATCCACGGCGTCAACTGAGAAGAGTCAGAGGGTGAGAGTATTGGGCGAGTTACGTTTAGGGATTTAGGATTTTTTTTAATTAAAAATAAAATAAAATATATATGATAGTATATGTATATATTGTATTTTTCTTTTTTAATAATTATTTATGGTGGTAGCGGGGGGTCGAGAATTGTCAATAATTGCTTGACCGATACTAGGGGTGAGCACCGTCCGGATCTACCTAGGAAACGGTTCGAATGCAAAATTTTTGGAATCGGACCGGAGGTTCCCGATTATGGGTGCTGAACCTATCCATCTGGAAACTAGCAATTTAAAACCTTTTTAAGAAACCGAAACTCTATTGCTTTCTTATTTCCCAGATCTGCGACCCCGCCTCTCTCGTTTCGCACTTTGGCTCTATACTCTCTAATCTTGAACAGAAAATTTAGCTAAACATTCTTTAGAAAAGTATGAGGTACATTTGGACATCATTCTTTTGAAATACTCCATTATAAAAAAAAAAAACTACACAAAACAAAACAACTGCTCAATTTCTCAATAGATCTTAGAATCAGGCTGGATCAACATAGAGGATATTGAAATCGATCCTAACAGGATAAGCTCCACGATTGGTTTCACGTCTTAGGTCTGAATTCTACCCATCTTAAAACCGATCGCTCCTAACCAATATTTACCATTACCGTAAAAATAATCATGGTAAGTCAACAACATAGTCTTTGGTATAAAAGAACAAATCTACCTTGGTTGAGTGGGCACAAAAGACATGCTTATGCTTTTTGATATTCTATCCTGAAATTTACCACCTTAAAGAAAGAAAGAGGGGAAGAGAAAAGAAAGTCCACAAGAATTTTAATTAGCCTCATTAAAAAAACATAAAAACAAGAACTAGACGAGAAATAAATCTTTAGATAAGTAAAATAATATATATGTTTATCACAAAGACCCTAAAAATATCTACGTAGAAAACTAAACTAATCATGATAATCAAGAATCTGTTCTAACTATCCTTCAATGAACTCTTTATTCCTTAATGTCCGTGGTGTCCGCCTCCACCAAAATCACCACCCGCGCTAAAACCGCCGCCTCCGTGGTATGCAGTGCCGTGACTGCCGATGCTGTGGTGTCCTACGCCGCCGCCGCTATACCCGCCTCCGTGATGGCCTTCGTGATGGTGGTGGTCACCAACACCTCCGTTCTGGCCTTGATGATGATGGTCACCTCCACCGCCACCTCCACCCTTACGATGGTGTCCATGACGATGATGATTACCTCCACCGCCACCTCCATCTCCGCCGTCATCTACAACTCCATACACAGAACTGTACAAGAGAGTATTAGCAATAGCCAAACCTTGATGGTTACCCCTGCTGCCGGTGGCGCCACCTCCCAGTTTGTTTTTGTGGGGAGAGCCAGTTATGCCTTTGCCACCCCCGCTGGTGGTGCCACCTCCCGATTTGTTTTCGTGGGGAGAGCCAGATTTGTTGCCGCCATGGCGGCCACAAGAAAAACTGGTTATGAAGCGTGAGATCAAACTCATCTTGATGCCCCAAGCTAGAAAGGATCGTGCACCAGAAGCCGATAGTCTGTATATTTATATATTTAAGCTGCACTCGATCGGATTTCTACTCAACGTAGGCCAGATAGGATAGGATAATAACTCTAAGGATTTTGTCTTATCTTATCGATCGTTTGATAAACTGCAAATTTAAAGTTAAATGTTTTTATATCTTATCCTATTCATTTTTTTTTTTTTTGATAACCATCTTATCCTATTCATGGTTTGATAGAAAACTACATTTCAATATAAAGGACATATATCGGTTTGTTTTTGTGGGGAGAGCCAGTTATGCCTTTGCCACTCCCGCCGGTGGTGCCACCTCCCGATTTGTTTTCGTGGGGAGGGCCAGATTTGTCGCCGCCATGGCGGCCACAAGAAAAACTGGTTATGAAGTGCGAGATCAAACTCATCTTGATGCCCCAAGCTAAAAAGGATCGTGCACCAAAAGCCGATAGTCTGTATATTTATATATATTTGGGCTGCACTCGATCGGATTTCTACTCAACATAGACTGGATAGGATAAGGATTTTGGATAGGATAGGATAATAACTCTAAGGATTTTGTCTTATCTTATCGACCGTTTAATTTAAAGTTAAATGTTTTTATATCCTATCTTATTCATGATTTGATAGAAACTACATTTCAATATAAAGGACATATGTCCCTACACATTGCACGTGAAATAATATCGATCTTATCATCATGAAAATATGATTCCCATGCACAAGTATACTTGAAAACCTTCACAATTAATTAGACTTACAACTCTCGGTGCAAAAAAAAAAAAAACCTTTCGATTTACAAGTATACTTGAAAATTACTGGAAAACATATGAAAATAGGATGTGGACCATCCAGGCTTCACACAGTCAAAAAATAAAATAAAAATCATTTTTCTGCTAACCTTTGCCCTTTGGCATTATCATTTGCATCTGCAATAGTGCAAACACCAACTCCTATTACCACAGCCAGAACAGCCATTTTCACTCCCCTTGAGTAATGTTTACTGTGCAGGATCCAGTCCACACGCAAACAACACAGGAATAGCAAAAAGAACATCGTTCGATATTGTTCATTGTAATAAAACACCAAAGGGACCACGCAATAGATTTGTTATTTATTGATAAAATTAGGTGCATCTTTCCCTTTCAACTCACTCAAATCTACTGCGACTCAGCGCTCCGACTCTGCCTAATTTACTGAATGCCGTAGAAACTATAAACCGAGCTCATTGGTCATTCTCATCTCTCACCTCTTTAAGAAGTGTTTTCGCAAATATCTTCTTGTCATCTCCTTGAAATCCAAGAAATAGATGGATGTTCTCGGGATCCTTCACAATTTTTCTGCATACTTCTATTCTATCCATGGTAGTCAGAGACATTGGAAGAAGCTCCTCATTGAATTTTCTCCTATCGTTGTCCAAATCTTTAGCATGTCCAATGTGGCTAGCAATCATCTCCATCCTCTCGTTAGCTTTGTCCAATTCTTTAGCATGTCTCTGGTGTCCATGGCGGCCATGGTTGTGGTTACCTCCACCGCCACCTCTGTCTCCACCGTCAACTACATCTCCATACACAGAGCTGTGTCTAATTCATAATAGTCGTCAATAACACGAATAATCCCACAATTGGAAAACTGGTACTATGCGGATGCTGAAGCGGGTTAGGGAGCACATTCGCATGCAGTGCGAAGATTCAATATGATGAAATCATTATGTGTAGGTACATTTACATCTAAACTAAGGTTAAAAATATTTATTTAATCTATTGAAAAAAATATCCATCCAACTGGTATAATTGGACAAGTATATTAGATTGCAGTATCATTAGTCGATTGGGGACTCCAATTGCATGTTCCTCATGAGGTTCAAAGAATTTAGCAAATGCTTCAATGGCGTAACGACACATCGAACGAGAGTGGCTAAGGGCAGGGTCCATCCAATTTCATGCAGACAATTGAGATTTGTGATGAGAGAGAAGCATGTAATATTTTGTATATTATCAAATAAAGAACACAACCCTTTATATATGTGATGAAAATAAAATTCGACTTAAGCACGATAAATATAAATGATAATTAACTTAACCCTAAATAGTAATCCTAACATAATCTAATAGAGACCACACTGTTGCATCATAGTTTACTGAAATGAAACCTTTTTTTTTTCTCAATTCATGCCTAAAAGGTATATTCAACACCCTCCGCCGCCTCCACCGCCCCCACCGCAGCCACCCCCTCCGCCACAACCGCCGCCTCCCCCACAACCGACCCCTCCACCGCAGCCGCCGCCTCCTCCATGGTGCTCTCCGCAGTGCTGGTGGCTGTCACTGCCGCCGCCGTCATTGCCACTGCCTCCGGAGTAGCCGGCCTCGACTCCATAGTAGCCGGCGCCGCCTCGATAGTTGCCGCCAACTTGGCCCTCTCTCTTCTTCTTCTTGCGCCGAGGCCTGGATGAGTCATCACTGCAGGAAAAAATGATTGCTGACACGACAATCAAGCACGACAGCACGAAGATCACGGTGGCGCATGCTGAGGCGACCCACTCTCTTGCCATTGATTTCCTCGCTATCTCGTGGAGAGAACAGAGGCAAGAACTCAAGTATTTAGGGTATCAGGAGCAGTAGTAGGAAGGAGAAGATGATGTTCTGGAGGTGAGGGACCTTCATTTAAATAAGGAAAATGAGAAGAGGACCGCACCGTCGATCTCAAAAAGCGACGGATGGATTTCAAGCTTTCTTCTTTTGGTCTGCAGATTTCAAGCTTTCAACCACACAATTATTCCACACGAACCTGATGACTTGT